TTTTTCACGATGTGCAGACCCAAACTCGCCCGTCTCTCTGCCCACCTCCGCTGGTCACTCGTTAACTTCAGTGTCTGGGAACATTTTAATTGAGTTTCATGAGTTCAAGTTTGTCATGTTTTGATTCTGATGTTTCAGGAGCTTTGTCAAGTTGTTCAGCAGCCGGATATCAAAGTCCTGAAAAACTACATAAAGGTAAGATTCACCTTCAAGTCCTTTAATGACATCATGACATCATGATGTCAGAGTTTCAGACTTTGACTTCATTCTAGTAAAAATCAGACTCAGACCAAGCAATCTGATTGGATGAGAGGCCTTATCTGAGTGACGATAACATCACTGTGCCTTTTCACATCATGTATCCCTCCGCCTCCTCAGCAGGAGGAGCTCTGAATACTTTTAATGAATATTTTTACAGCTGACGAGTTTTTCTGTATTCATGTCAAACGTCAGAGTCTGATGTCGCTGCGTTCATGATCACAACTAAAGGTTCACACTACAGAGGAGCTGCTCTGCTGTTACCATGGACACCAACGGTAGAATAGAATGTTCGGGTTGCTTAGCAACAGTCCAGTGTCAGTTAAACTGTGGAACTAGTTAAAAAATAATCTGTTTCCGCTTCATGGCCTTCTTTCATCCTTCTCTTCTTCTTCTTCCAGGCGTTCTTCCAGCGAGCGAAGCTGTAGGGAATAAAAAACTGGAAGTTCTCTTTGGACTGAAAAGACTCTTCACAGGAAGTGGACGAGCTCTCGCCACTTTCAACAACCACAACAACAACATAAAAGGAACTTAGCATAGGAGCTGCTTTTGCACTTAAGAAGCGAACGCATCACGAAGCCCGCCGCTCTGTCCGAGCGGGGGCGTGGCCGGACGAGTGGTCGAGCCGTCCACAAGGCCTTGGGACGAGAAGGCGCTCAGAAACGTGGAGAACTTTGTGACGAAGTGAAACCTGATCTGAGGGAGAGGAAACGACCCGTCTGGTAAATATCCTCGAGCCATCTGAACCCGACGAGCGCTTCCTTCTCGTCTTTAGAAACCACATTTCAAAAACATGCTAGTTTGAGGTTGTTTTTCTTTTTCTGACGTTGCTGCTGCCACGAAATGGACAAAAAAAAGGGCTGAATTGTTTTTCTGTCATTAAAAATGTGGCGTGGATTTATTTTTTTACGTGCTGATTTGACGGAGGGATGGTTTGAAGTTTTGCAGTGCTCGCCGCTCGGGTTCTTCCAAACGCCACCAACTTTTAATTTCCTGAATTCTCCGTTTTAAAAGCAGATCAATCTGAAACGTCACCTGATGGGACGTTGATACTCGAGCTTTTGGTGACATCAGCCCGTCACGCTAAATTTAAAGGTGCGACAACAGAGGAATATTTTTTGTCTCCTGTAAATCGGACGATTATTTAGTCGCTGTTTTAGTTTTTTGAAGGAGAAGAATGAAAAGAAACGGAGGGACGAAGTGTAAATAAGAGAATAAGATGTTAAAAGTGTAAATAAAGTTCCTAGGTTTAGTTTTTTTCAAATCTTCATTCCCATCTGGGAACTAGTACGGAAGCTCGCTGGTGCCAGAAAGTGGAAAAAAAAGTGTCTCGCTATGAAAACGTAAGAGTTTGGATGCCGCGTAAAATAAAATCTAGTTTGAAACGTTCAATTGAAAAAGTTAAAATGATTTCACGTTTGACCTGATGAACTTTTTTTTGTAAACATGCACTTATTGATGTTATTTTCTTCTCGCTCTGCATCCAAACTTTTTTACAATTTTGGTTAAAGTGTCAAATTTCGATTTAATTTTGTCATCATGAATTCGAATGAGAGTTTCTTGTAGTTCAGAATTATGAATGACCTTTTTTTATTTTTCACTTTTAAATTTCATATTTGAAATTACTCCCCCTTAAAATTTTGAAAAATTTTGCGTTTGAAATTGTGAATTTTGACACTTAAAAAAAGAAATTGATCCATAATTTGACCCTTAAAGAAGTGCAATTATAATTTGGACTCATTTCAAATCTAAATTTAGAATTTGAAATAGAATTTATAGGTTTTTAATTTTTAACACTTCAATTTTCTGGCCCTAACAAGCTTCCGTAGACTATCGTTAACTCATCATAGGAATCGCTTCTGAACACGTCAAGTAAAAATAAAAAACATGAATTATCGTACGGAAGCAGCTCGGTGAGTTTTTATATCGAAGCATTCGTGACAATTCAGGCAATGGACGTGTTGATTATGCAACGCTTCACAGCGAGCAATACTGTGAACGAACCAATCAGTGCGCGGCGACGAGATGAAACTGTACAAACTGTATCTGATATTAAAACACACATCCTCTTTTAACCACTCTGCACGGACGATGTGACCTCGCTCACTTTGATCTGACTCATCAGAAATAATCCCCAAATCCTCCGCTTGAATGTTCAGCACTTTATTTTACGTTTCTTTAAAAGCCTCCTTCAAAAGTTCCTGAACGCGTTGAATTAAATTTGGTCAAACGCGGCCGATAAATAATCATATTGAAGGAGGACTTTCGGTTATTTTATATTTTTCTAATTGTGAACAAAAAAGGCAAAAACCAAAAATGTGCCTGACGATTAAATTCATTTCACATGTAAAAATTAGAAGTTATTGGGCTTTTATTTTGAAATGCTGTACGGTCTTAAGCTGAGAGTACTTCCCCTGCTGTCTGAATGCGTTAACGCAGCCTGAGACGTCGTGATAAATAAGAAAACAGAAGTATAAAGTGTATGAATGCATGTTCACTCAGCACGTTACTCCACCCGTCTGTTTTTAACCTTAAAGCGGCGCCTCGTCCAGCGTACCCTCGTAGTATTCCTGTCGCCTCTCCTCCTCAGTACAGCAGCTTCTACAGGATTCTCCTTCAGCTCTCTGCCTGGTTTTGATTTCCTGACTCGACGTCTCCCTCACGTCTCACTAAATCAAATTTGCCAAATGAATAAATTTGTCGATTGTTGGTGAAACGTGTTGATTTATTTTATTTCTTTTTGATATGAGATGAAACTGTTAGAACCAATAAAAAGTGTTTACTAATCATCAGACATCACACGGCCTCTGTCATTGGTTTGTTTCCTCTTACACTGAATTATATTACAGCCACGTTAAAGGAAATATTTTCTACAGATTAAAGTCCTAAATCGATTTAAATCCGTCTGGTTGAAACGTTTACTCTGAAAGGTATCAGCAGAGCAGCCATCAGCCTGCAGGAAAATGTTGAATGTAGCTTCACATTTCATGTAAACTGACACAGAATGAGCGTGATCTAAAAACTCTTACTAACATCCAAATAATCAGTGAGTATGTTCTTCTTCTTCTCTCTAGTTCTTGACTAAAACAGCTTTTATACACAAGGGGAGGAGCCGGCCGTCCCGTCCATGTAAACACGGCTCTGACAACAACACAGCCAGCGGGACTCGAGCTTCTCCCTCATTGTAGACAGTCAGGACTCAGAGACACATTTACACAGGACAGACTTTATGATTTATTGATGTGGATCATTCTTCCTTTAAAGTTTTCTGTAACAGAGTTTGTCGTATAATTAATCATGGCGTGATCACGTCTATTTGGATCACAGAAAAAACAAACAAAAAGAAATCTCTTTTTTTCAAAGCATTCAAACAAAAATGTTCCATTAGATTTTCTCTCTGATTAATTTAGCAAACTGAAATTCTCCCACCAGGAACAAAAAAAGAAAAAGTGAAGCTCCTCTTCTCTTGAAGATTTCTGTCCGTGACTTTCTCGTGTTTTGAACACCGAGGCGTCTTTGTTTGCTTTAAAGTCTTTGAACGCAGCATCGTGCAGCCTCATCCTTTGATCACAGCGATGGGTCTCAGTTTGATCGCCTTCTTACTGATCCCAGCGTCGTGACACGTGTTGACCACGTCCGTCACGTTCTTGTACGACTCGGGAGCCTGAAAGGAGGAAAAACAAAAAAACAACACTTCATCGTCTGCGTACAGAGATTTTTTTGTATTTTTACTGAAAGTTAAAATAAATAAACTTCTTTCTCACCTCCTCCATGACCAGTTTGGGTGAAGCGACTCGGATGGCGATCCCCTGATCGGCCAGTTTGTCCAGGACGTCCTGGAAGTCCAGGTTTCTGCGAGACTTTGCTCGAGACAGAGCGCGACCCTGAAACACAAAACAGGAAGTCATTTGAATTTGTCATATTTGAGTTTATCTTAAAGTCTTAATCTGTGATTTTTCACTCTTAAATGTATAAATCAAGTCTCTCCTCTGAAAATAACTCTGTGAGTCATGACTGTCTACAATGGGTGTAACACCCGAGTCCCACTGTCTGTGATGTTTTCAGAGTTTTCAGAGTCCTATCTTCACTTTGTTTACATCGCCGGGACGGCCGGCTGACTCCTCCCCTCATGTATAAGAGTTGTTTAATTGAGGGACTAGAGAAAAGAAGAATAACATACTGTACTCACTGCTTAACTGTGTTTCTAGATCACGCTCATTTCAGGTAAATTTACATGCAGTGTGAAGATACCAGCATAATAAAGATCGCTAGCATTAGCATGCTAACACAACAATGCAGCGCCAGTTGTTTTGGTTTCATGCTGGAGCTCAAGGGCGACATCTGCTGGATCAACAAATCACATATAAAGCCTTTAAAACTGGGAGCTGACTGTTGTTTTCATGTTTGAGAGAAATCTCGTACCGCTCCGTGACAGGTGGTGCCGAACGTCTCCGTCATGCCTTGTTCGGTCCCCGTGAGGACGTAGCTGCAGGTCCCCATCGTCCCCCCGATCAGAACCGGCTGACCCGTCAGCTGGAAGACAACAAAACATCAGAAGGTCATAAACCCGTTTTTAAATCGTTTATTTCCGTCCCTGCGAGCGGCTCCGTACCTGGTAGTCGACGGGGATGAGCGGGTGGTGCGGCGGGAACGCCCGCGTGGAGCCTTTGCGGTGGATCAGCAGCGTCTTCTGCTTCCCGTCCACCATGTGCTCCTCCACTTTGGCGATGTTGTGAGAGACGTCGTAGATGACGTGCATGTCCAGGTCGTCCGGCGTCGTGTTGAACACTTTGGAGAACGCCTGAAACGTTTAAAAAGTTCATCAGAGCCGAACGTCATTAAAGTGTTTGATGCCGTGCAGAGTGCAGAGCGTACCTGTCGGGTGAGGAAGGTCATGGACGAGCGGTTGACCCAGGCGTAGTTTCCTGCCGCCGCCATCCCCTTCAGGTAGTCCTGACCCTCCGCGGACGTGATGCGAGCACACGCCAGCTGACGGTCGTTCACCGTGATCTTGTCCCTCTTCATCGCCTTCTCCATGGCGACCAGAGCGTCTGTCAACAACATTTAAAGGTCAACAAGGTCAAAGAGAGCTTCTCGTTCTCCGGGTGTGCCGAGGCGACTCGTACCTGTAGCCACCTGGTGCCCGAGTCCTCTGCTGCCGCTGTGGATCATCACGCACACCTGTCCTTTGTGGTCGATGCCCATCTTCTTGGCGGCGTAGTCGTTATAGATCTCATCGACCACCTGGATCTCAGCGTAGTGATTTCCTGCTCCCAGAGTCCCGAGCTGCAACAGAGAGACGCATAGTGTGAGATGAACCTTACGTCTCCATGGTAACCAGACACAAATTACAAGCTACAAACTAACACAGGTGCTGACAGGAGGCGGAGCCCCAGAGGATGATGGGATACCTGTGGCAGGCCTCTCTTCTTGGCCTTGGAGGAAACCTTGTTGGGGTCGGCCTGCAGCATCCTGCCGTACTCCTCGCAGTGCTCCTTATCCTCGGCCCAGGCGTACCCCTCCCTCAGAGACCAGTCCACCCCCATCTCCAGAGCCTCCTCCAGGTCCCTGAACACACACGCACGTGCACGCACGCGCACGCACACGCACGCACACGCACACACACACACACGCACACACACACACACACACAGGTCAGCAGGTGGGCAGGGATTGTGTGGCGGTCTGGACTGCTGCAGGCTCCGTCCTCACTTACTTGGCCCCCATGGGGATGACCCCCTTGGACCCGACCCCCACCGGGATGTGGTCGAACAGAGACTGAGCGAGCTGCTCCTTCACCGGCTGCACGTCGCCCTCGTCCAGGTTCGTCCTCAGCAGCCGCACGCCGCAGTTTATGTCGAAGCCGACACCACCTGCACAGACCACGAGGAGATACTGGAGAGTCAGACCAGAGACACGTAACCATGGCAACAAGAACTTAAGTCCTCAACACCCAGTATTGGTTCATATCGTGTTTTTAATAAAACAAAAGAACAAAACTAAATATTTATGATAAATAAAATCTGATTTCATTGTGGTAACAAAGCTAGTACTAACTATACAAGCTATCAAAACAACATCAAAGTTTATACCTCAGTTCTGACACCATTATTTTGGATCATTGAAAACTTTTAGACCAACATGGATAAAAACAAAGATGTTTGATTGAATGCTGCTAGCCAATTAAGGATTTGTGTTTCATATAATTCACTTAATACAGAAAAGAAATACGAGCTCTTGTCTTTAACTACACCTGAAACTTACCTGGAGACACGACAGCATCGGGGTCGTTCATGTCGAAGGCCGCCATGTTCCCGATCGCAAACCCGTAACCAGAGTGAACGTCGGGGAGGCCGATGGACCTCTGAGGGAAGATTAACCACAAAGTGATGAAGTGTAAACATAACGATCAACACGGCGCCGCTTTGAGCACGTTTCATCCTGACACTTACGTGAATGATCCCGGGCAGAGCCGCCACGTTCCCGATCTGTTTCATGGCTGGAAGGAATCCGCCCACACCTGAGGTAACATCAAAATATAAAATCACTTAACAAGGCAACAGTCGTGATGATGATGAAGATGATGATGTAGAGAGAGAAGAGACGCCGACCTCCTCCTCGACAGGCGTTACGAAGCTCCTCAAACATCAGCTTCTCCAGAGGATCGTTCACGTAGAAGATCCCCTCGACCTGCGACGCACAGACATCTGATGATTGTTCACGTTTCAATACATTCAATCAATTAAACCTTCAAAACACCTCAAACACTGGAGAAAAGAAAACCAAGTCTGTGACCTTTAACCTCTACTATTGTCTTGTGTCACTTGTGCCTTTGTATTTGTCTTTCTCTGTTACCTGCCGAGGGACAACAGATGGAAAGTAGCACTTCTGCTATAATCTGACATTCTTACAGCTGTAATTGTTACAGCTGTTCATCAAAGTCAAAGTCAACTTTATTGTCAATTTCAAAATATGTCAGACATACAGTGGAATCAAAATTGCTTTTGTCTCCGTCCCGCGGTGCAATACAACCAAAATAAGATTAAATAAAATAAGATAAAATAAAATAAGATAAGGTAAAATAGATAAAATAAAATAAGATAAGGTAAAATAGATTAAATAAAATAAGATAAGGTAAAATAGATTAAATAAAATAAGATAAGGTAAAATAGATTAAATAAAATAAGATAAAGTAAAATAGATAAAATAAAATAAGATAAGGTAAAATAGATTAAATAAAATAAGATAAGGTAAAATAGATAAAATAAAATAAGATAAGGTAAAATAGATAAAATAAAATAAGATAAGGTAAAATAGATTAAATAAAATAAGATAAGGTAAAATAGATAAAATAAAATAAGATAAGGTAAAATAGATAAAATAAAATAAGATAAGGTAAAATAGATCAAATAAAATAAGATAAGGTAAAATAGATCAAATAAAATGAGGTAAAATAAGCTAAAATAAAATAAAATAAGATAAGGTAAAATAAATAAAATAAAGATAAGGTAAAATAGATAAAATAAAATAAGATAAGGTAAAATAAATAAAATAAAATAAGATAAGGTAAAATAGATAAAATAAAATAAGATAAGGTAAAATAGATCAAATAAAATAAAATAATGTAAAATAAGATAAGGTAAAATAGATCAAATAAAATGAGGTAAAATAAGCTAAAATAAAATAAAATAAGATAAAATAAAATAAGATAAGGTAAAATAAATAAAATAAAGATAAGGTAAAATAGATAAAATAAAATAAGATAAAATAAAATAAGATAAGGTAAAATAAATAAAATAAAGATAAGGTAAAATAGATAAAATAAGATAAAATAAAATAAGGTAAAATAAGATAAATAAAATAAGATAAATAATATTTACAGTAATAAATTGTAACTTGTGCAAAAGGTACAAAACAAAATGGTAAATAAAATAAAATTTAAAGAAAAAGTAAACTTGTGCAATGTGCAGTAAACTGAGTGTACTAAATTCATTAATATGCACTGTCCCTAACAAATAAATAAATAAAATAAAAAATAAAAATTAGGGGAACAATGATTTTAAAACTGCAACATTATACCTGTAAAAATCAAACGATATTAATACCTGTTTGGCAACAAAAACAGAAGTCCTAAACACCAAATATTATGTAGTATATATGTTGGAATATTGACAGTTTGGAGTTGTTCTGTAATTTGTGTTGTTCTCACTCCTCTCCTTCACACCTGTCTCATTAAATACTGTAGTTTTTTAAAGTTTCAGCACTTTTGATGCTATCTTTCATTAAAACAACAGAATGTAGCTGATGGATTATGGATGCTTGGACACTTTGTCAAGTGTTAGTCTTGTTCTTCTGCTGATATCAATTAAAAAACAGGTGGATTCACCTTTTACATTTTACAGGTAATAAATACGTAATTGAGCTACGTCATCACGCTTAAACTTTGCTATGTGGCTGACTTTCTGTGATAATTTGTTACTGATTTGTGACTATAATTAGTTGTTAATGGTTATATTTTCAGGTGGGGGTTTGGTTAAAGTGTTTATATTTATTCAACATGTGCGAACTGAAGTTTACTGCGGCTCTGCGAGCTAACCAGTTAGCCACATTAGCTGCTAGTCAAAGTGAGTCTCACCTGCATGTTGGGAACGAAACCCTTTTTAATCCTCCAGCAGGTTCCGTTGATCTTCTCCAGGTACTGCAGCTCGTCATTATAACTCCGGCTCATGTTTCTGATTCAAAACGGATCAATATGATTCAATATGATTCAATATAACAGCGTTTCAGGCTGCGATTACCCGGCTGTCTGCCAGATTGCATACAGACAGAGAGGTACGGAAGCCCAAAAGCAGTTTGACAGAAGAACGCGATTGGTAAAAAGGCATGACTCAGTATTTTATTAATATATAATTATCATTTTTTGCGTTTAACAAGAAAAAAAAGTCTCAACTTCGAGACGCTTTTACTACAGCTTGTTTTTGTTTTCGTCAGTTAGTGTTTTAGCGCATAGACAACTTGCTCGCTTGCCGTATTTGTAGTCAAACTCTTCTTATCAAGTTTAAGAGAAACGAAGATGTTTGAGAGGCCTTCAAATTAAAAGAAACAGAATTGCGCATTTATATTACATAGCAGGTTAAGAACTCCAATACAAAGTATATATGTAAACTACAAAACGTAAACGATATTGGAATGGGAAAAGAACGATTTATTTCCTAAACTACTTTTAAAACAAACTTTAAAAATACATTTAAAGTTTTATTTTGTTAAATCGTCAAGTCGTCAACAGGAAGTGGTGTTTTAAACTGCGCTTGTCTGATTCCGCTGTCATGGTGCAGCTGTATGTGTTTGCTGTGAGCTTTAATAATAGAAGTTTGGTAGCAGGACGTGGATTGAACCTCTTTAATTCATCATGTAAGTGTTTTTGTTTTTATCTTCAAACACTGACTGCGTTAAAGACTCAAACGGTCAGTTAGCTGGCTAGTTAGCACGAAGTTAGTTAGCTAGCTGCTGTTACGCAGCAACGAAACAGAAACTTTTCTTCTTCAATAACAAAACAATAACTGAAGATAAAGTCCGCAGACCTGTTTCATGTTGAGTTCTTTTAAATAAAGACATTAGACGTTTTGTATTTTATCCTTTTTGAAAGTTTTACTCCAAACGAAACATTATAAAATAATCTTCATTTAGCATCCTGTTGAGATTACAAGACAAACTCCTGCACACTCACTGTCTACACCAGAGGTGGGCAACTGGCGGCCCGGGGGCCACATGCGGCCCCCATCAACCCTCAATGTGGCCCTCAGGTCAATTAATTGGAAACATGAAGAAAACTTGACAAAATCTGCCATGAAATCATCAAAACCAGAAATATGTCCATAATAATGTTTGATCAGTGGTGTATGTTGACACATAATCGACTGAAATCGTTTTGGTATTCTACAGTTTGGCCCCCTGCTGTGACCAAAGTTGCTCATCACTGATCTAAACTGCAAACATCGGTACCGGTTTGTTTTTGGTCAGATTAGAAAAGTGTGCAGGAGTTTGCCTGCAATTTCCCCTCCTACACACCTGTCTGAACAAATATATATTTATTTCAAAGCTTCTGCATGTCGATCATTACAGAACATCCATCATTACAGAACATCATTACAGAACATCCATCATTACAGAACATCATTACAGAACATCCATCATTACAGAACATCCATCATTACAGAACATCCATCATTACAGAACATCATTACAGAACATCATCACAGAACATCATTACAGAACATCCATCATTACAGAACATCATTACAGAACATCCATCATTACAGAACATCATTACAGAACATCCATCATCACAGAACATCATCACAGAACATCCATCATTACAGAACATCATTACAGAACATCCATCATTACAGAACATCATTACAGAACATCATTACAGAACATCCATCATTACAGAACATCATTACAGAACATCCATCATTACAGAACATCATTACAGAACATCCATCATTACAGAACATCATTACAGAACATCATTACAGAACATCCATCATTACAGAACATCATTACAGAACATCCATCATTACAGAACATCCATCATTACAGAACATCATTACAGAACATCATTACAGAACATCCATCATTACAGAACATCATTACAGAACATCCATCATTACAGAACATCCATCATCACAGAACATCCATCATTACAGAACATCCATCATTACAGAACATCATTACAGAACATCCATCATCACAGAACATCATTACAGAACATCATCACAGAACATCCATCATTACAGAACATCATCACAGAACATCATCACAGAACATCATCACAGAACATCCATCATTACAGAACATCATTACAGAACATCATTACAGAACATCCATCATTACAGAACATCATTACTGAACATCCATCATTACAGAACATCATTACAGAACATCATTACAGAACATCATCACAGAACATCATCACAGAACATCATCACAGAACATCATTACAGAACATCCATCATTACAGAACATCATTACTGAACATCCATCATTACAGAACATCATTACAGAACATCATCACAGAACATCATCACAGAACATCCATCATTACAGAACATCCATCATTACAGAACATCCATCATTACTGAACATCCACCATTACAGAACATCATTACAGAACATCATTACAGAACATCATCACAGAACATCATCACAGAACATCCATCATTACAGAACATCCACCATTACAGAACATCATTACAGAACATCATTACAGAACATCATCACAGAGCATCATTACAGAACATCCATCATTACTGAACATCCATCATTACAGAACATCATTACAGAACATCCATCATTACTGAACATCCATCATTACAGAACATCATTACTGAACATCCATCATTACAGAACATCATTACTGAACATCCATCATTACTGAACATCCATCATCACAGAACATCATTACAGAACATCCATCATTACAGAACATCATTACAGAACATCCATCATTACTGAACATCCATCATTACAGAACATCATTACAGAACATCCATCATTACTGAACATCCATCATTACAGAACATCATTACAGAACATCCATCATTACTGAACATCCATCATCACAGAACATCATTACAGAACATCCATCATTACAGAACATCATCACAGAACATCATCACAGAACAGCCATCATTACAGAACATCCATCATTACAGAACATCATTACAGAACATCCATCATTACAGAACATCCATCATCACAGAACATCCATCATTACAGAACATCCATCATTACAGAACATCATTACAGAACATCCATCATCACAGAACATCATTACAGAACATCATCACAGAACATCCATCATTACAGAACATCATCACAGAACATCATCACAGAACATCATCACAGAACATCCATCATTACAGAACATCATTACAGAACATCATTACAGAACATCCATCATTACAGAACATCATTACTGAACATCCATCATTACAGAACATCATTACAGAACATCATTACAGAACATCATCACAGAACATCATCACAGAACATCATCACAGAACATCATTACAGAACATCCATCATTACAGAACATCATTACTGAACATCCATCATTACAGAACATCATTACAGAACATCATCACAGAACATCATCACAGAACATCCATCATTACAGAACATCCATCATTACAGAACATCCATCATTACTGAACATCCACCATTACAGAACATCATTACAGAACATCATTACAGAACATCATCACAGAACATCATCACAGAACATCCATCATTACAGAACATCCACCATTACAGAACATCATTACAGAACATCATTACAGAACATCATCACAGAGCATCATTACAGAACATCCATCATTACTGAACATCCATCATTACAGAACATCATTACAGAACATCCATCATTACTGAACATCCATCATTACAGAACATCATTACTGAACATCCATCATTACAGAACATCATTACTGAACATCCATCATTACTGAACATCCATCATCACAGAACATCATTACAGAACATCCATCATTACAGAACATCATTACAGAACATCCATCATTACTGAACATCCATCATTACAGAACATCATTACAGAACATCCATCATTACTGAACATCCATCATTACAGAACATCATTACAGAACATCCATCATTACTGAACATCCATCATCACAGAACATCATTACAGAACATCCATCATTACAGAACATCATCACAGAACATCATCACAGAACAGCCATCATTACAGAACATCCATCATTACAGAACATCATTACAGAACATCCATCATTACAGAACATCATTACAGAACATCCATCATCACAGAACATCATTACAGAACATCCATCATTACAGAACATCCATCATTACAGAACATCATTACAGAACATCATTACAGAACATCCATCATCACAGAACATCATTACAGAACATCCATCATTACTGAACATCCATCATTACAGAACATCATTACAGAACATCCACCATTACAGAACATCCATCATTACTGAACATCCATCATTACAGAACATCATTACAGAACATCCATCCTTACTGAACATCCATCATTACAGAACATCATTACAGAACATCCATCATTACAGAACATCCATCATTACTGAACATCCATCATTACAGAACATCATTACAGAACATCCATCCTTACTGAACAGCCATCATTACAGAACATCATTACAGAACATCATTACAGAACATCCATCATTACAGAACATCATTACAGAACATCCATCCTTACTGAACATCCATCATTACAGAACATCATTACAGAACATCCATCATTACAGAACATCATTACAGAACATCCATCATTACAGAACATCATTACAGAACATCCATCATTACAGAACATCCATCATTACAGAACATCATTACAGAACATCCATCATTACAGAACATCCATCATTACAGAACATCATTACAGAACATCATTACAGAACATCCATCATTACAGAACATCATTACTGAACATCCATCATTACAGAACATCATTACAGAACATCATTACAGAACATCCACCATTACAGAACATCATTACAGAACATCCATCATTACTGAACATCCATCATTACAGAACATCATTACAGAACATCCATCATTACAGAACATCATTACAGAACATCCATCATTACAGAACATCCATCATTACAGAACATCATTACAGAACATCCATCATTACAGAACATCGATCCTTACAGAACATCCATCATTACAGAACATCGATCCTTACTGAACATCCATCATTACAGAACATCATTACAGAACATCCATCATTACAGAACATCGATCCTTACTGAACATCCATCATTACAGAACATCATTACAGAACATCCATCATTACAGAACATCCATCATTACAGAACATCATTACAGAACATCCATCATTACAGAACATCGATCCTTACTGAACATCCATCATTACAGAACATCATTACAGAACATCCATAATTACAGAACATCGATCCTTACTGAACATCCATCATTACAGAACATCATTACAGAACATCATTACAGAACATCCATCATTACTGAACATCCATCATTACAGAACATCATTACAGAACATCATTACAGAACATCATTACAGAACATCCATCATTACAGAACATCATTACAGAACATCCATCATTACAGAACATCCATCATTGCAGAACATCCACCATTACAGAACATCATTACAGACCATCCGTCATTACTGAACATCATTACAGAACATCCATTATTACAGAACATCATTACAGAACATCATTACAGAACATCATTACTGAACATCATTACAGAACATCCATCATTACAGAACATCATTACAGAACATCCATCCTTACTGAACAGCCATCATTACAGAACATCATTACAGAACATCATTACAGAACATACATCATTACAGAACATCCATCGTTACTGAACATCCATCATTACAGAACATCCATCATTACAGAACATCATTACAGAACATCCATCATTACAGAACATCCATCATTACAGAACATCCACCATTACAGAACATCATTACAGAACATCCATCATTACAGAACATCATTACAGAACATCATTACAGAACATCCATCATTACAGAACATCATTACAGAACATCCATCATTACAGAACATCATTACAGAACATCCATCATTACAGAACATCCATCATTACAGAACATCCACCATTACAGAACATCCATCATTACAGAACATCATTACTGAACATCCATCATTACAGAACATCCATCATTACAGAACATCCATCATTACAGAACATCATTACATCCATCATTACAGAACATCATTACAGAACATCCATCATTACAGAACATCCACCATTACAGAACATCATTACAGAACATCCATCATTACAGAACATCATTACAGAACATCCATCATTACAGAACATCATTACAGAACATCCATCATTACAGAACATCGATCCTTACTGAACATCCATCATTACAGAACATCATTACAGAACATCCATCATTACTGAACATCCATCATTACTGAACATCCATCATTACAGAACATCATTACAGAACATCATTACAGAACATCCATCATTACTGAACATCCACCATTACAGAACATCATTACAGAACATCCATCATTACAGAACATCCATCATTACTGAACATCATTACAGAACATCATTACAGAACATCCATCATTACAGAACATCATTACTGAACATCCATCATTACAGAACATCATTACAGAACATCATTACAGAACATCCATCATTACAGAACATCATTACTGAACATCCATCATTACTGAACATCATTACAGAACATCCATCATTACAGAACATCATTACTGAACATCATTACAGAACATCCACCATTACAGAACATCCACCATTACAGAACATCATTACAGAACATCCATCATTACAGAACATCCATCATTACTGAACATCATTACAGAACATCCATTATTACAGAACAACATTACAGAACATCATTACAGAACATCCATCATTACAGAACATCATTACAGAACATCATTACAGAACATCCATTATTACAGAACATCATTACAGAACATCATTACAGAACATCCATCATTACAGAACATCATTACTGAACATCATTACAGGACATCCATCATTACAGAATATCATTACTGAACATCCATCATTACAGAACATCATTACAGAACATCCATCATTACAGAACATCATTACAGAACATCATTACAGAACATCCATCCTTACTGAACATCATTACAGTAACAGAGATCGTATCGTTTTAAAACTCGTGGTATCGAATCGTATAAAATCATTTAAAATTTGACAACCTTAAAGGTCCGGGTGTTCTTTCTTTCTGTCATGTCCAGTATGAAGCTTCGTGTTCGGATCCATCGGCAGACCAGCAGGGTGGACTTGCCGGGAGAAGAACCCAGTGTGACTGACCTCAGAGACCACATCAAGGAGACGCTCCTGTGCTCGCTGCAGATCAGGTCAGACAGACCGGTTCATGTTGTTGCTGTAGTTAAGTTGATTGATAATTGATTTGCTCATTGGGTGCTTAAAAATAAAAGGTGCTGTCTGAATCACAGCACATGTGTGTGTGTGTGTGTGTGTGTGTGTGTGTGTGTGTGTGTGTGTGACTGTGACTGTGACTGTGACTGTGTGTGTGTGGACTGTGACTGTGTGTGTGTGTGTGTGTGTGTGTGACTGTGTGTGTATGTGGAGCTCCCACTGTGCTGTAACTCAGTGTTTGTGTGCCTCTCTCAGTGCAGACACAGAGTTCAGTTTGTCTCTGAACGGCTCAGAGCCTCTCACAGACGCCGGACAGACTCTGTCGTCCTGCGGCATCGTGTCCGGAGATTTGATCTGCGTCATCCTGCCCGAGTCTGCAGCCGCCGACATCCCAGACTCCTCCATGGAGAGCGTATCCTCCTCCACCAACACCACCTCTGCAAACTCTGTCAGCTCGGGAACAAGCAGCACTGAGACCCAGAGGTAAGAGCCCTATTTATTTTATATTTATGTTGTTGTCTTCGATACCACATGATCCACAGTCATGAAAAGTTCTGAAACTTCAAAAAATCTTCGACAGTCATATTTTTAGCTACGAGAGAAAGAGAGCACTTTCTAAATTGCACAAATATGTTGGTAAAGAAACATTGCCAACATTTTCCTTGCTGCATTTGCAGATATTATTTACTCTTTACAATCAACCCAGGCCTCATGTTTAGATTGTATCTTTAAATAAGATGTGTTTGTGCTTGATGATATTAAGTGTTAAGAGATATTCCCCCCCCACTCACCTCCTTCAAGGAATCCCTCAAAACTCACCTTTTCATCACTGCCGACAACCACTAACTCCTCCCCTCCCCCCCCACATGACTTCTTCATTGTACTGTCCTTGTCGTTTTTTGTTTTGTTTTATGGTTTTATGTTTTGTCAAAGCGTCTTTGAGTTCTTACAAAAGCGCTATAAAAAACCAATGTAGTATTATTATTATTATTATTGTTATTATTATTTAACTTTAAATGAGTCTTGTACTTTTGGTGGTGAGATTTGAGCTTCTTAGTGCAGCTCAGTCGTCGTTATGCTACGACCGTAAATTTCTTCTTCCTGTGAGAAGTTCTAAATTACAAATCTGTCGTTTGAGGAAGGAGGGAGGATAAATCAGCCCGATGCACCTCGTTAAAAATGATCAATGGTTCCAGGCAAAGAGTCTCTGTTAAGATAACTTTCACTTCCCCGGCTGGGTGGAGCTCAGAGGCAGCATCTGTGTGTCTTTATTTTCACTTTCTTTATTGTGAAAACAGAAGCTCTGAATCTGAAGGACTTTTAAAAAAACCTCTGACAGTAAATTCTGTTCTTCATTGTTGAATCATCAGACACACGGCAGAGATGTCTTCCTCCCAGGTGAGTGGAAACATGTCCAACTAGTGGAGTTCAAAGTTCATGTCTGGTGTGAGATTCTAAAGAATCTTCTTTCAGCCCGGCGGCAGCAGTAGCGTCTCTGCAGACTGCGAGCAGCTCGCCACGGCGTCCTCCTCCTGCTGGGAGCCGATGCTCTGCAGCGAGGCCGAGGAGGGTCAGGCTCCTCTCTCACTCGAGCTCCTCTACCAGTCGGCCCAGACCGCCGGGCCCAGCGACGCCGTCATGGTGGCCGCCAACCAGCTTATGTTGGAGACCGGGTTTGTTCCTCAGGTGAGACTGCAGACAACCAGGACCCGTTGTTCAGGTGTGATCAGCTGATCCAAATTATATCAGGTGTGTGTGTGTGTGTGTGTGTGTGTGTGTGTGTGTGTGTGTGTGTGTGTGTGTGTGTGTGTGTGTGTGTGTGTGTGTGTGTGTGTGTGTGTGTGTGTGTGTGTGTGTGTGTGTGTGTGTGTGTGTGTGTGTGTGTGTGTGTGTGTCTGTCTGTCTGTCTGTCTGTCTGTCTGTCTGTCTGTCTGTCTGTCTGTCTGTCTGTCTGTCTGTCTGTCTGTCTGTCTGTGTGTGTGTGTCTCTGTGTGTGTGTGTCTCTGTGTGTCTCTGTGTGTGTGTGTGTCTCTGTGTGTGTGTGTGTGTGTGTGTGTGTGTGTGTGTGTGTGTGTGTGTGTGTGTGTGTGTGTTACAGGGCTGTGGGCTGAAAGCTGCTGAGATGCCTGCAGGTTGGAGGTCAGCTGGTGGAGTTTACAGACTGCAGTATGTTCACCCTCTGTGTGAGAACAGCGTGGTGTCTGTGCTGGCGTTGTGTATGGGCCCCGTGCTCGTCATCAACGGTCAGTTTGAAGATTTCATGACTTAAAGATTTGAAGCGTTCTGATTGGTCCATTCTCCTCTGAATATTCAGACTGTTTGTTTTTCTTTCTGCAGCGACTCTGAAGGTGAACGAAACCGTCGACACAATCCCCAAACTGACCCTGAACCCCCGCAGCTACGTGACTGACCTGTACCCAGGTAACGCTCCCATTGGTCGATTTAACCTCCTAGAGGTGCGTTTGATTTAATGACTCTGATGAGTCATGTGACGTCTGTTCTGTTTATTCAGGAGACGGTGCAGCCGCAGCTTTTAAAGACCTGAAGAAACTGTCCCGGATATTTAAAGACCAGCTGGCGTACCAGCTGATCGCTGCAGCCAGAGCAGGTACACACACACACACACACACACACACACACACACACACACACACACACACACACAGAGCCTCAACTTCATATTTTGTATTTTTGTATATTTCTTTTATTTATGATTCAAAGAATAAAAAACGACATTTTGGTGTTTTTCCAGCGATGTCTCTGCCCGTGGCGTTCGGTCTGGCCGCTCTTCCTCCTGAACTCACCCTCAGGATCCTCCGGCTGCTGGACGTCACCTCTGTGGTCAGACTGTCGTCCGTCTGCAAACACTTGAACAACGCCACAGACGACTCCACGCTGTGGAGACACCTGTACCGCAGAGACTTCACAGGTGAGCTTTTCAAAACGTCTCTCCTCTCAGTCTTTGTTTATGACGGAGACGTTTAATAAACAACAAATAAACAAACTGCTGTTTGTGTTCAGATTCAGATCCAAGCAGACCCAGAGACTCGGACTGGAAGCAGGTGAGACAAACACAGTCAGAGTCGATGAAACAAACTGACTCAATCATTATTTATTAGGATGTTTCACAGGTCTATAAAAATGATTAAAAGAAAAATGTGCAACTTGTTGATCCAGTAGATGTCGCCCTTGAGCTCCAGCATGAAACCAAAACAAATTTATTTTTGGCCACGCCTCCTCCATCCTGAAGCCCCGCCCTCCTGCAGAGACATTACAAAGAAGATGTTTTTTTTATGTAAATGTATTTCATATTTTCCTCGTCTGTTTCTGTCTCCAGATCTACAAACGCTCCCACAAACATCGCTCTGAACTCCTCGTCTGTCTCACCCCCGATCCCTCCCTCTCTCCCCTGGAACCCCCGCGACATCTTCCCACCCTTCCCACCCTTCCCCCTCCCGCTCGCCCCTCCTCTGCCCGCATCATCGGGGGTGCTTACGACCAGAGACCCGAGGAGCTCCCCGCGCCTCCTGCCCGGCCTCGCTTCACCCCATCAGCGCGCTCCGAAATCCGGAGAGCGACCTCAGGGCGACCCCCGGAGATATCGTCCGCTGGGGCGACCTGCAGACGTGCGGCGAGGTTTCATCTGAGTCTTCTTCTGCAGAAATAAAACACAGAGCTGAGTCAGACGTGTGTTTGTTCATAAAGAGAGAGAGGAAACACAAACTGATTTATTATTAAAACGATACAATCTGATATTTTCATGATCCATAAAATCTAAAAACACAAAACCTTTGAAATAACTACATCGGATTCTTCACACGACACCACAGAAGAAGAATGAATGCAGCCAAACATCTGCATGAAACATCTTTCTGCAGTTCAGACACTCAGAGAAGCAGAAACATTTATTAACTTCATCACGTTGTCTCATATCTGCAGCCGGGTCTGTACAGATGACCTCTGACCTCTAAATTCTAATTTGAGTTTTTATTTAATTAAAAAAGCCGACATTCAGCACAGCACACCTGAGGCTCGCTCACCTGAGGCTCGCTCACCTGGGGCGTCTTCACAGGTTCATCTGTCGGTGTTTAATCCTGTCTGAGACTCTGAACTGTATGGAAGCCCATTTGGGACAAAAGAGGAATATAAATAGAAAAGTATTTAACGTTTGAGGGTAAGAAAAAGGCACTTTGGCACCTTTATGTTTTGTACTAAACTATTTTTAAATCATGATTAAACCCTCAAACTTAACGCACACGTCTGTGTTAAGACGAGAGAGACACCCGTTGTGAAAATCAGGGTCGATACCGATGTTTGAGTCATGGCTTCTTTTGGTGTCAGACTTCACAGCTGACATTTTCAGAGTTGTTCAACAGGTGACGTCATCTGCCCAATAAAAAACATTCTTCTCTAAGTCCCCGTGTCCACCTGGTATTTTTGAAGCAGAAAATCGCCTCACTGTGCACTTGCATGAAGTGTTTGTGTGCTGAGAAGAAAAGCGCTGCATGTCCGTCCTGTCTCTATGACAACAGTCTGTTGATGACGATCGCTGTATGGCCGACTCTGCTCTGAAGCAGCGGAGGCAATTTGGGTTAAGTGTCTTTCCCGAGGACACATCGACATGTGGCTGCAGGAGCTGGATCGAACCCTCAAACACACATTTACCACAAAGTTTTCTCAAATTGAGACTTCCTATGTAAATGTTTATTGTTTCATTAGTTTATTTTAAAGGTTCAACCCTGATTTTTGTTAATTAAGAACATTAGACTGTAAATTTTAAGAATATTTAGTTATTAAGAGTTGTGCTTTGTTTATTTTTATGGATTTTAAATCCTTAAACTCCTCGAATCCTGACCTGATGCTATTAAATCATATTACAGTTTAAAAATATTTAATTTACAAAATAATAAAGATGATATTTGTCTTGATAGAGTTTGACAAAATGAAGCGATATGTAAAAACAAAAGTGAAACAAAAAAAAATCACATTTGTTCCCACTGAGTCCTTAACGCATCCCGTTAAGCAGCGCGTGAGATAATGACGTCACCTTTTGTCTGAAAACAAAGGTGCACTCGTATCTAACGCCCACTTCAGACGGAGAACAGGCGGAGTTAGCTTGGTGCAACCCCCGGTGTATCGCAGAATTCTGTTACTCATTATATCCGATGACCACGTCGAGCTGAATACCTCAATAATTGTTTTCTATCCAAATTAAAAAGTACTTTAATTATTTTAGAATACAAAGACCAGCCTAGACTACATTTGTCATCTAATTATAACACTAGTTCAGTTTTGCCTTTGGCGCGCAACAGAATTTAAACGGTCACAGAAATGTTATAACACCGGTTACGCTGACGGTGGACGTCAACGGTCCGTCAGAGTAGGTTTAACCGTGAATGGAGTCGAATTTAACGGTTTTATCCCTCAGACAAAGATTAGAGAATCTTCTGTGACTTTCCTTGAGTGATTTTATTTATTACAAAATTAGTAGTAACCAAAAATGATCTGAATTAACCATGAAGTCATGTTAACACTTAAAGTAGCTTTAACCGTTAGATGATAATACGGTACATACTCCTTCCCTTCACCAGCCGGCGGGGGGACTAAGCAATTCCAACAGGGTGAGTTTGATTCATGACCCATTGTTTTATTCATGATGACACAGAAATGTTGATAATGAGAGAATAGTCTTTAAAAATAAAAATACAAAATGTATACTTTTTTCAAGGGGCTTTCCGGATTCTTG